TGAAAACGAAAGTAAATGGTGCACTTCCTTCTAGGGCAGGCGTCTCCAAACTATAGCTCAAATGTGCTCTCCTGGCCAGTTTTTCTTGGCCTTCAGCCTTTTAAGTGATTTGGTACTTATTACCTTTAAGCTGTACTTTTGAATGTTTTTCTACCTTGATTAGTGGGTCCTATTGAAGATCTAAGCGTGAATAAAGGTCTGGTGACTCATTCTAACCTGTTATTAATGCATATATTTAATTACTTACTGTACTGACCACCAGTCTATGACCTTCAATCTGCCCATCACTGTGTCTGTGTTTTACTCTCTGGTCCTTGATGAAAAAAGGTTGCTCCTATTTTAGGGCTAAATTATTTGGGAAGAATATCTCATTGTGATGTTGTAAACTTGAGGGTTTATTGTAACAAAATATGTAAGCAACATAAAATATAAATGAGACTCATCTCCATGCCAAAAATAAAGGGCCAATATTACACTATCTTCTGATCTTTGCATGTTTCTTCATCAAAAACATACCTGGAGTTTTGTTTTATTTCATTCACACATGTTTAACCCATAAATCTGCGTATTTAAGATATTCTTTCAAACCAAAAAACACACTCTGTATTACATTGTGATGTCATGTGGTAACACAGGAAGCACTCCACAATGTTTTTAAACTCAATACACCTTCATTTGAATCTTTTGGATAATTTCAGCTTCAACTACTGAATCACAAGGTGGAACAGAGCATTTGGAGTTTTGGAGATAGATTTGGAGATGTACTAATAATAAATGGTTACTCAAACATATGTGAATGAAACAAAACACTGGCTATGTTTTTGACAACATTATAAACATGGCTAAAAGCTAACAGTAGTCAATTTGATCTAATATAGAACCTTTAAAAAATAATAATTTAAAACATTTCTTAACATTTTTTTTTTTTTTCTTACAAAACAGTTGCAAGTTCAGCAGCTGTAGATTCTAAGAAATGTCCTGAAAAGTAAGTTAAGAGTCAGTATACATCACAAATGTTAAACCCTTATTTTGTAATTGGGAATAGGTAAACAATAGGGGTGTGCAAAAGTATTGAAATATTGAAATATTGAAATATTGATATATCGTATCGTTTAATGTGATGATACAGTATCGATGTCATGGGCTGCTCGATATATTGCCAAGAGTATTTTTTGGTGTATTTTCCTAAATTATTTTGCTACAGCTCTTCAATTTTGTTGCTTGTTTAGAGGAAGGAAACTCGTTTATGCAACACATTTGACATAGCCATTGTTTTGATGATTCAAACGGGCGTGTTTCATATGAACTTTGCACAAGAAGTGGTTTAACAAAGACTTTTAATATCACAGCCATGATTTAGTCATTATTTTTTATTGAACTGTATCAAATCAATTTGAAATATATCATATCCAATCAAAAGCACACTGTATATGTATCGTATTGTGGCCTATGTATCAAGGTATGTATCGTATCGGCAACTTCTTAATGATACCCAGCCTTAGTAAACAATTAGTATTAAAAATTGTTCATCAAAAATCATCGGCTTGCGTTCTGCATTCATTTATCGCTGGAGCAGACAATATGAGTCAGATGTTTTGCCCGTCCAACTTGTGACCTTCAATTGTAGCATTTAGTTCACAGGTATCAAACAGTTATATTCAATCAAGGCATATTCCATCCATCTTTCCATTCATCTTGCTTTCCTCACTGAAAATCTCTGCATCCTAGAGACCAACGAACATAACAAGGTTTATTAAGGACCAGTAGCATATTGAGACCTATTGGACACCACACATTCTCTGTCTTGTCAGTCTTTTGTAACCAATTGCAAGTGAGGTTTTCCACACATGTTCACTGATTAACACATTTCTCAACGCAGAAACCTTTTACTTACCTCTCCTTCTTAGAAAATCTTCTATTCTGTTCATCTGTTGACCATAATATGAAATTGATTGTTGACAGCCATTGATTTCAACTGACAGTATTATTTATTCATGTTCAATATAGCACTTTACAGGATTTCTAAGAGGTATTTTGGAGACTTTACTGCTTCTGTCCACCCATGATGGTTTGTCTGTGGCGGCCTCAACCAAAGTTAATACTGAACGAGGATAGAACTTGTGTATTAAAGAGTTTCAGAAGTGGTTGGGAGGGTTGAGTGATGTGTTTTTTCCTGTTGACACATGGTGGTGTGGTCAAGGACTGATGGCCATGTGGTTGTCAAGTATTTTTTTTTTCCTTTCATCATATAGACGGACCTCAAGCAGATCAAACTTGTAATGTTGTACAACTGTTAAAGGTCCACTAAGTAACTTTTTTGGACGTCCCTTACCTGCTTGTTTCTGTGTTTCTGTCGTTGCTCTACCTGGTATGTTTCATAATATGACATTAAACAGCTCTACCTTACCTTTATTCAGTTACAGGTGGTTTTATAGTTCAAAAATACCTAGAAAAATCCATAGATCTGACCTGTAAATTGATCTGGTTTGGTCTCCATGGAGATTGATAGGTTTAATACCATACTGTGAAACATTCCAACCAAAGCAATAACATTTCCATGGAGAAAAGCATTTGATGGGCCATCCACCAGAAAAAAATAAATAAAAATACACAATGCACTTTTGAAGAAAGATTCCAAGCATGGGTAATCAAAATTTGACTCACCGGAGCCTCCTTATCACTAGATTTGATTCTATTTTTTTTTTAAATCCTATACCTTTTTTATGTTGAGTGATTTTTCCCTGTGCCCACCAGATTGTTATGGAAACTTCTTCCTGTATTGGGTTGTTTTTGAGTGAAAAGTGCTTATTATAGCTATCTGTATGATCCTGGCTTTCCTGCTATTGTTCAAGTATAGTCTGTCAATCAAACAGGCCATTTCTGTGCAAGCAAGTACAGAAACAAGTCCAAACAGAGAATATGGAAAAACTGTGCTGCTATCATTGCTTTAAGGCTGCATTTACACTTGGGCCCAGTTTGAGTGTGGATTTGTTTTGGATGCAGTTCTAGTCCTGCCTTAGTCCACGTTTCGCTTTGGGTTTAGTCTCTTTTCATGATGAGACTTTTGGCTCTTTTATGGGATCTGAATCTTTTGGATTTGTTCATTTCAAAAGAGACGTTCAAAAGACTGGCTCTTTTTATATTTATCTATATAATTAGCGCCGATGTGATTTGAGAACTAAGTTTATCTCCAAACTAATAAAAGAGAGAAATGACCAAGGCTTAAATTGGTTTAAAATGGTTCAAACGGTTGTGTTACCCACTCTGCTGATTTTTGTGTTGGTTAAATGTAAATCCGTGTAAAATGCATGAATATGAGAAAGAAAAATATTCAGCTCTTTTAAAAAAATCTGATCCGGTTCCTTAACTTGAAAGGTTCAAAAGAAATGTCACATCACTACACTACAATTTTGATGTGGTGGAAAGTCTGGCTACAGCTTAACTGCAGAGCTTTTGTGCCGGCCGCAGCCTTGGGCTTGTCCAGAATTGTTGCAAATCAAGATCAAGGGGTGTCGGAAGTGGTTCAAATTGTAACGGAACAAATTTACTAGAAACAACATTCTTATCCTTGAATCAAATCAAAACAAAATGCTCAAATTGATTTAAAAAAATGTAAACAAAGCCTCCCTTCATTGCTTTTACAGTCTGATTAGATTACATGGTGGTATTAAATAATTTGGTACAGTGTCTGGGTTCGGGTTGTTTCCATGTTGGCTTATTCTGAAACAACCAATCAGTCAAGTCAAAATAGTCAACAACCTCAAAATGAAGAAATAGATCAAACAAATTACAAATTGAATCAGTGAAAGGCTTTCAGAGTGATAATAAATAATTGTATGGTTGCCATAGCAATTAGCAAATCCAAACAAAATATAGCTTTTGAATGAGTAAAAGTCCTCCAAATGTCACCTTGCAATAAAATCACACTGGGGGTGTTCTACATGTATCTCTATGATGGAATCTTTTGAACACAAACCACATATTAGCAAGCACTATCAAGTTTGAAGATAAACTAAAGAAATATACTAAATAGATTTAAGCAACTAATTGTCAAGCGCCTGTGATCAATACAAGTTTTCATGTTTAAATGTTTGATTTCCAACAAAAATGTGAAAGACACTGAAAAACTGTTGGCTAAAGCTAACTTGAAGCTTGTAACTGTTATTTCATGTGTGTGAGATTTGTTTAAGTCCACAAATTTTGCACCTTGTAGTTCCAACTAAGTCAGCTCCATCTGGTCTGATTGGTCAGATCAAAGTCTAACAAAGCCTCAAACAGAGCAGTGCCTCTAGTTGGCATAATATATCCAAGGGATATTGATAACATCAGCTGCAAAGTATCAATAAACATGAAGCTGACACTCATGTATATGTGTAATACGTTGTTGTCAACAGAAATTTGGGGGCTCAGGGAAAGAAGCCTCACATGGGCCCCCTTCTAATATTAATTAATAGGGAGAGGTTCCAATTCTGGGCCTCAAAGACCTAGCCAGGCTGGAGCCACCTACTGCCTCCACTCAATTTCAATTCTCTCCAGCGACTAGGTCAGGAATTGGTAAACACTAGAGGGTTCGGAAGTGCGAATCCGGGCACCACCCAATCAGCAAAAGCCATACATTCTGTGTTGGCAACGATTCCCGAGATCGAGGATTTAAAGCTGGAACAAAGAGAATGTTTGGTGAATTTTAAAGACGTTATTGGCCTTTTTCCTACTGGATTTGAGAAAAGCTTAATATATAAGTTACCCTCGTTAGCGGTGTATTACATACGTCACGACCAAATAGCAGCAATTGGTTAAAAAAAAAAATAAAAAAAGTTCCCTGCCTACAGTCGAGTGAACAAATTCTAATGCTGCGAAGTCAGACGGTTTCCACGAAGTGAAAGCGGCCGATGAATCAGGCTACCAAAGACCCTGAGAGAAACAGAATTTGCCCCCCTCTACCAACTCCTCTGGTCATTATAATATAGCCTGCATATTAACCCTTTCCCTCTCTCTTCCAGGTGCCTTCATCATCTGCTGGACCCCGGGCCTGGTCATCCTCCTCTTGGACGTCTTCTGCGCCAAATGCGACGTCCTGGCCTACGAGAAGTTCTTCCTGCTCCTGGCCGAATTCAACTCCGCCATGAACCCCATCATCTACTCCTACCGCGACAAGGAGATGAGCGCCACCTTCAGGCAGATCCTGTGCTGCCAGCGCCAAGAGAACGCCAACGGTACGGTGGCGGAGGGCTCGGACCGGTCGGCATCTTCCATCAATCACACGGTTCTGAGCGGGGGAGCGCATCACCACAACAATCACAACAATGAACATTCGGTGGTATAGGCTAAACGAAGTTACCAAACGGACTGTGAACAGATTATAAACTAAATTGCAGTATCTTGATGAAGAGAAAGACCAATGAAGAATATACAACACTACATGGATTTGAGATTTAAGGACTCCAGTAGGCTCTTAGTGTTTCGTGTTGTGTGTTACTGAACTATTTAAGAGTTATCTGTGAAGTGATGGTTATGCCAGTATTGTAACTTCTAATATCGTGTTTCTTATTATTCAGGTTAACTTTCAATAGGGTAACATTGCATTCGTATACGTGATTTTAAGCATCTGCCTCGTCTTAGAAAAGAACATTTTAATGACTAGGAAAGCTATTAAAATCGTCACATTTTTTTGTTGCTCGAAGTGAATTTGATAGATTTGGGGTGGTACATTTGTTAATTTGCTTTCATTTCAATAGGTGTCTACATTCAAACTCTAGGTTTACTACATAAGTTGGTTTTATGGTGCACTGTGTAACTTTTTGGTAGAGGGTCCGCCACCTGCTTGTTTTTATGGATATGCTATTGCTCTGCCTGGAATATTACACAGTATGGCATTAAACAGCTTTTTTTTAACGTTTATTAAATTACAGTTGGTTTTATGGCACAAAGAAATAGGCATTCTGACTGTGAGCGAAGTTGCTTCTCCACAGATCTGACCTATAACTTGGTCTAGTTTGACAGAATGATTTAATGCCATACTTTGAAACATTCCATTGGGAAACACATTTGACAGACCCTCCACCGGAAAAGTTACACGATGCACCTAACGCAAAATTCTGTGAAGTAAGTGCACTTTTTTTCTACCAATTTAACTGCAGTTATCGTTTTGAGCCTGATTTTTTTTCCCCATTACAATCAGCATCAATGTTATGACCAACAGTTTTGCCTTGAAACTGTCCCCAGTGGTAATGCAAGTCTTAAAATCATGGCTCTGTACTAAGCTAAGTTAGTTGAAATCATGCACGATTGATATCAAGGTGCTGTACCTGATTTTTACTGTCTTAAAAACATGGAAAAAAAAAAAAAAAAAAAAAAAAAGAACTAGTTCATTTTCAAACAGTTTGTAGTCGCCCAAACTTATTCCCCATTCCAAGCATCCTAATTATTCACCGAGATGAGTTCATAAGCGCTTTTCACAACCCTCAGAGACTATAGTAGAGTTTTGCTGCATCAATAAAGTGAACAGCAACTAGCATGCTAACCCACACTTCCTGATTAAAAGCTTTATAATTAGACAGCACACAGGGGACATATTTCAAGCTCTGTACTGGGACAGTTTAGCTCAAATACATAGAAAAAAAAAAAAAAAAAATCAAATACAGGCTTTTTTCTGATCTGCGTTATGTTGTTTCCTCATCACAAACATACCAGGAGTTGTGTTTTGTTTCATTCACATGTTTTACACTGACAGACTGATAATAAGAGGTTACTCAAACATGTGTGAATGAAACAAAACAAAACTCCAGGTATGTTTTTGATGAAGGAACAACATTCTAACACGGCTAAAAGCTCACAAGAGTCAGTTTTGTGTAATATAGGACCTTTAAGTCTGGATAAGTGGTATCATGAGGTGGACATTGTTCTAAATAGATCCATATTGGGTCAAATAAAAAAATATAATGTTTAAAAAAGCAATAATAAAGCAACTAAGTATGGATTTGCTAGATCAACAAACAGCATTGTGACGTATCTGCCATTGCCTTGTTCGGGGTTGTTGCTTGGTCAGTGGGTGCTACTATCTTCCCATTTAAGATCACATGAGACACCATGACTGTGTGAACCCAGTGTGAACCTTGCTAACCTAATTTAGAAGTGAGGAACATTGGTAGAAAAGGAAAATGGACACGAGTCCTCACTTAGCAACAGTATAAAAACATTACTTCCCAGTGTAATATGATGATTGGATGATTTCAACCCTGGAACTGCCAATCTCTACTCAAGAAAAGGTAAAAGGCAGCTGTTAACTTGAAAACTACCGCTACATGACATCACAAGGAGAAACTCCAGGTATGTTTTTGATGAGGTAACAACATTATAACATGACTTAAAGCTCACAAGAGTCAATTTCGTGTAATATAGGAACTTAAAATCATTCTTAGAGCAGCCTTCTTTTTCATCAGTCATCAGTGCAAAACAAAATACAGGGAGAATCTGGAATTGTTTATTTGCCCGAGGGAATTAGAGACAGGCTGTCCCAGAGCGCACCAAGACACGGAGGAGGATGTTTGTAGCCTTTAAATGGAAGGTCTTATGCCACAGTGTCACGCTATGATAAGGTTAGGGTCATATCTGGTGAATGTTAGCGGGTTTAAGAGATCCTGACTCTGAGCTTGTGTCCTCGGCCGGAGTAAGGTGAAAGGGCACGGTTGAGAAAGAGCAGAGAATTGTGTGAGAAGGACAACTGATGTAAAAATGCCTCCCGGTGACTAGAACGTAGTTGTGTAAACAGAAAATGCGAGACGGCTTGGCTTTCAGTTGTCGGGGTATTGTAGATTTGTTACGTCATGTTTGCCGAAATGAAGAAGGTCTGGTAGGTTTATTTACAAAAGATGTTAGGATGCGAGCTCGATTGACAATTTTTAAGGTTTGCGAAGAATACGAGAAGCTAACTTAGGGGGTTTGCGTATTTTGGCAGTAAACTGTTTTTCTGATTGGCCGAACGATGGGGCCAATGACACCAACAGATGTCGCGGGATCTGGAGAGTACGATGAAACATAAAACTCAATTTCAGCAAGTTAACTGGACCAGTTTTATGGGAACAAATATACCGTTTATAATTTTACATCAACGCACATTTTCATTTGGTCCATATACTGCAAAAAGCAATCTAGGTAAGGAAAAAACTAAAAATGTGGCTGTTTGATGCAGGTGTTCCAATCAGTGGGAGCTGGTAGAGGGTATTCTTTGGAAAAAGGATCAAAACTTTAAACTCAACAGAATCCAGGCACTCCAAAGAAGTAAAAATTGCATGAGTAAAAATATAGTTAAAAGGGCTTTATTTAAATGGCCAAAGCCAACATGTTTCAACCAACCTGGTCTTCATCAGGGCTTATAAAGGCCTTTTAACTATTTTTCCTCTTGTGATTTTTACTTCTTTGGAGTGCCTGGAGTCCGCAGTGTTAAAGCAATCTAGGTAAGTTAAAATGACTTAAATTCAACTTGACAAGTGAAAGGATCCACCAGTGGAACAAGTGCGTTTTTCTTAATTCAAGTAACATTCAATTTTGTTTCTTATTTTAAGTGCAAATAGTTGCTTTGTAGCAAGATGTATTTTCATATTCTAAGTACAAATTCATTTTTACTTGTCAAGTGAAATTTACTCAAATCATGATGAAACTTTCTTCATTCGAGTAATTTTAACTTGGCTAGATTTTAGTTTTTCCAGTTGTAGAAGTTGTGTTTTTTGCTCATAAATGGTTCAACTCCTAGAAACTTTTTTTTTTAAAGAATAACCCAAAACTACTCAATCAGTTGTAACCGTTACAGAATCAAACCATGAATTTACAAATTTTTTTTTCAAGTCACCCCAAGAGACAAGGGCAGTCTCAGGGCAAAAAATGGCTATAAAGTTTTACCGACAAGTTTGATCCGGTGTTTGTTTTTAAGAAGCCTTCTGTTATCACTGATCCAGACTGCATGTCTTGAAAGCATTGTACAAAACACCAAATATGGGAAGTAAAGTAAAAGCAATGTTCCGTGGTGATTGATGACCTGCTAGGAACTAAAATTAAGCTTTAGAAGGTTTGAACTACGGGCGAAGAAAACGTGTTGTAGCTTCGATTGGTAGTCCATTTAATCACTTTCGTCACTCTTTTATGTTTAAGGATTATAGTACGTTACAGTCACATACAACAACAAAAATAGTGTCCCTGTTTGTTGCTTCTACTGTATATGGTTCTCATTCAACAAATTAATTCCTCTTAAAATACATCAGTCATATCTTTCTAATTTTCTTGCTCAATAGCTCAAAGGATGGAGAACCTGATAGAAATAAGAAATACAATTCTATTCACCCAAATACACAAACATCTCATATATGTTATAGTCACACACAACAACAAAAATACTCTAGTGTTCCTGATTGTTGCTTCTATATGGTTATTATCCAACAAAATAATCCCTCAATCTAATTACGTTCAGTTTAGTTTGCTTGTTCAATAGTTGCTTTTACAGTCGCCTGATAGGAATAAGAAATACAATTCCATTCACCCAAATACACAAACATCTCATATATTTTAGGATTCCTGATAATTTGTTCCTCTTGGTAATATTACGTTGGGTGAGAGAAGTTATGGTAGAGTCCAAGAAAAACAAACCTGATTTATGAAGTGGTGCGCGCGCTGGGCCTGGCTTCCTCAGCGACTGTAAAGAGTGAAGAGCAGCGAGAGGGTTAGGATGTGTAGTGTCTGGTTGGGTAAGTTCCAGAGAACTTTTCAGGAACTGGGCCAGTGGAATGGTTTATGAGCGGAGTAGAGTAACAATAGACCCATTTCCCATATTCATTCTCAATCTAGACATTTCATGGCAAACTGTAGCAAAAGTTCACCAAAAATATGAAATGTGCTGAACTTAACTGCGCAACTTTTCCAGTGAAGGCTGCTCTACCTGCTTGTCTCCGTGGAAATGTTATTGCTTTGTCTAGAATGTTCCACAGTACACTGGAAAAAAGCAATACCAAGTTAAATTAAAATGACTTAAACTAAGAACATATTTATTTGAAGAGATTCAACTTGACAAGTACAATGATCTACCAATGGAATAAGTGTGTTTTTCTTAAATCAAGCAATAATATATTAGATTTTGTTTCTTATTTTAAGAGCAAAAAGTTGTTGCTTTTTCTTATTTTAAGTGTAGCGAGATGTATTTTCATATTTTAATTTGTTTTTTTGTCGAGATTAAACCTATCACGAGGGAGACAAGCAGGTTACAGCACTATGCTACTTTACAATTCAGATCTGTAGAGAGTCGCCCCTTTTCACAGAAGGAATTATTGCATTTTTGACACCCGTATATAAGATTACGGATGTAACTCTGGACTTTTACTAGCCCAGGAAAGCCGTAGCACCCAAGGGGTCAACATAAACGAAGAAAAGAAAATAAGTTCTTCACCTTTTTTTTTGGCCACACCAAGGGCAGATCTGACAGCATGTCCCCATGACAGACAACAGGCAACCAACAGTGACAAAAAAAATTCCCATTATATAGCCTGGAATAAACCACTAAGCTGCAGACAGGTAAATTTGAACATTTAAAAATTATGAAATATATAATTATACTATTTACATTTCATAAACTAATATTGCACTTTGTTACATTAGGATTATCAGTTTTTTAAATATTATTTCATGTATAGATAGATAGTTAAAACCATTTTGGCAATTAAACCTCCCCTCCCCCAGCAGCACTTGGCAGAGTCCAAATCAGGGCTATGGGATGCACCTGGCCTGCACTTATAAGGATACGCCTCCAAATCAGTGCCTCCACCAATCACCTCAAAGGAAAGGAAAAAAGGAGTGAAACAGGAAAAATAGGTGGGTTTCACGTGACGTCACAGGGCTACGTTTGTCCGCACGCAAAATCAGATGGAGGGCAGGAAGTGAACTGACTGGAGGAAAATGCCGATGTGTTGTGTAATTTACAGCTGTGCCAATCGTTCTAACCGAGAGAAGGAAAAGCAATTTTTTTAGAGTACCGAATATAGTCGTCCACAAAGGTCAGAAATGGGAAAAGCCGACAGAACAATGCCGTAAAAAGTGGATTACAAACCTGTTTGCGGTCAGGAGGAGCAGAATTCGCTAATGCTCGTGTCTGCAGTGACCACTTCGTCAAAGGTTTGTTACAAAGCAAAATTGTTTTTTGTGTTTTACCTAAACATAAACGAATCATTAAGGACTAACGGCTAACGATGTTTGTTGATATTAAATAGTTCAGATAGAGGTTACTGCCGATACACTGCAGTTTTTTCCATAATAATATAATAATAATAATAATATCTATACACATAAAATAAGAGAAACACTCCAGCGAAGACCAAACGATAATCATCATTTAGGTGTTTTGCCCCAAGATTGAGGACCCTTCCACTGACAAAAAAAGTTATATGCCTCCAAACTGTTGTACGCCTTCATCTGTTGTCTGGTGTAGAACGATGTCTGAAGAGCTAAATAGTTCGTGATATCCTCTGCCTCGATTGTCAGCAAATCTTTTGAAAATTCTCTCATCTTCAATAAGATGGGATCACGCCCAATATATTTGTCGACTAACTGCCGTACTTTTGTCTTGCTACTGGCTCTAAATCCTTACAATAAGAACTCTTCTCCATATCTGTGTTCTCCAGAGCCGTGTTTGTCGTGTTTGTCTTCACTTCCTGCCCTCCACCTGAAATTCGCGCATCATTGTGATCATGTGACTGAAACCCTCCTATTAACATGGCATCAAATGAATATATCTGAAAACATGAAGGTATACACCTGATTGGTGAGGGTGTGGTCTATAGCTCCCTCACACCGTAATAAATAAATGCTAGATGGAAATGTGTAATGTCATACCATGGAACATTCTAGACAAAGCAATAACATCTTCATGGAGACAAGCATAGGGTGACCAGTATTTTAAAATTAAAAACTGGGACATCCCTGTTTTTTTTGGTGGTTGGTAATAATAAAATTGTGAAACGGGTGTGTAATTAAGGAAAATTGTTATGCAGACCATTCATGACTAACGTGTGAGTCAGTAGTCAGTGTCAGTATAGTCACATTTTCTTTGTGGTTTGGTCATTTTTAAGCAGATTTTTTGTATTTTGCCCAAGTAAATTACTCTGTATGCCTCACTTTACTGTTGGAAGGTATCAAATTGGTCAAAAATAAGGACACCTGGGACGTTTCTTATATAAAACTGGGACAAATCAATGGTTTTGGATAAATCTGCAGCGACAGGGGACACAGGGTTCAAAACCGGGACGTCTGGTCACCCTAGACAAGCAAATAGCAGACCCTCCACCAGAAAAGTGACGCATGGCAAGCTGAACTAGTTCGTTTTAGACTGTAGAGTTCAAAAATATTCTTTACTTATCCAACAAATGTCTAGAGTAGTAATATTCACCACCATGAGTTTATAAGCATGTTTCACAACTTTCAGAGGCCAGAACAGTGTTTCTATAGCTCATCGAAAACAGCCAAAGCATACCAAAGTGTGCATACAGTAAGCAAAAGCAACAGTGCACTTCCTAATTCCAAAGTAATAAAAAATAAGTGTAATGATAATGCATTTCAGACAGTGCGTAGTGGCCTCATTTTGACCCTAAGAGCTTTTTCAATATTTCCGAACCTATGCAAGACAAATTTTACTCTACTACTCGGAAAAAAAGAATCGGTACAGCCAACAGTTTTCAAACCATTGTAAGACTAGTACTTGTGGTTAATACGATGGAGCAATGTCTCATTTTTGCATTACGTCATCTCATCTGCCTGACTCATTGAGAATCACGCTAAAAATAGTCCAACTAGTGTATCTTAAATTCACTTCTTTTGCGTTTACGATTCTTTTCCGTACTCACTCAGCTGAAGTATATCTTAAATGTCCAAACCAGTATTATTACTCTTATGTTTTTTTGTTTTTTGTGCACTCTTAAAGCCTCTGGTGTTCATTATTGATTTGAAAGTCATTGTGCTGTGACGTACACTGTTAAAAATGCCAGTTGAGTGCTTTGTCGTGACTTGAATCAAAACACATGTTGGGCTGAATACATGGACATGGCCTGTAACAGCTGACAGCACAGTACAGAGCAGGGCCAGGGTACAGTGAAGTCAGTCTCTGCAGTGTGTCCAGAAAAATGACTTCTAGCAGATTCTGGATTAGCCCCATATGTCATCTCGCTTGACAGGCAACATGACTTCTTTGATCTGGAGAAGGCCTGTCAGAATCAACAAAACCATTTCTTTTATATACGAAGGGAATTTGCACGAGTCACTGTGCAAGAATGAGCGGTATTTGGAAACTTTGACGTCGTATGTGTATGAAATTAGACGACAAAAATGCAGCAATCTGTGTGTACACATTGTATTTGAGGTTAATTGCAACAAAACTGTAAAGTGTGTAATTTAAAGGTGCACTTTGTAACTTTTTGGTTGGGGGTCCGTCACCTGCTTGTTTCTATCAATGTCTATCTATGTCATTGCTTTGCTTGGAATTTACTCAATTACAAGTGGTTTTATGGCTCAAAATTATCTAGAAAAACTGGCATTTTGACTGAACGGGGTTGCCTCTTCTAACAATTAGTAGTAGTTGTTTTTTATTCGGTCATTTCGCAGTACTACAAAACAAAACAAATAAAAAAACATAGACTACAACACCATGGATCTTGACCGGAAGGGTTTAGGCTGAAGTAAAAAGCACTTATAATGCCAAACCCTTTTAAACAATGACATAATTCCAAGAAAGAAAACAGCGTATGAACAGCAAGTTTGCATTTACAATTTCACTTATGACTTACTGTACATATAAGAGACAAACTATAAATTGAAATAAACTAAATTTAATGCATAATTCGTTCATTCCAGAGCTTTGTATCTTTCAAAACATAATGCTTTATACTTGTTTTTAAAGGCGTATACAGTGTTAGACTTTCAATCCCTTTTTTTTTTTTTTATTATTAAGTTTTTTTAAAGTTCTTATCTTCATTTTTTATGGTCATACAAACTAAAAGTAATGATAAAGAAGGCCCTAAATATATCGCTTATGATCGTATCAAAATAAAAGGTAATGTTAAAGAAAAGAAAAGCATGTATTTAGTTAATAGTCTTGGTTTACTTGTGAAGGCCATATTTAATCTTCTAGGAATATCTGACCTGTAACTTGGTCCGGTTTGGTCTCCATGAAGATAGAAAGGTTTAATGTCATACTGTGAAACATTCCAGACAAAGCAATAACATCTCCATAGAGAAAAACACACAGGCCCTCCACCAAAAAAGTTAGAGGACGTTGAATTGATAACTATTATAATTTATTGGCGCCCGTTAAGGCTTGCACTGGGAGGGCTTTGATAAAGGCTCACTATGTATCTTTTCTGCTGGTCTCTACGGCGATGTTATTGCGTTGTGCATCTTGATGGAGGCGGGCAGGTGACGCCATCAGGTTACAAGTCAGATCTGTGGAGAAGTGACCTGGATCAATGATGAAGGATGAATTTCAAGGCACTTTTGAGTAGTAAAAACATCTCTAATTGAATAAATGAGAGATAGATACAGTACGTTTAATGCCGTACTGTGGAACATTCCCTACAAAGCAATAACATCTCCATGGAAACAAACAACTTTCCACCAAAGAAGCTACAAAGTGCATCTTTAAGTAGATCAAAATGCATTTCAATTTAGCAATTTTCTACCAAATAATGTGGAGTATACATGTAACCTCTTTTCAGTGTCTTTTTTTTTTTTTTTGAACCATGATATTGTCATTTTAAAACAGCAAAATAGTCTTTTCAAATCCTGTTTTTAATTACATTCACTGTTATCGTGCATTCAGGTGACGTCAACTTAACTAAATGTCATTCAGTGTATACCAATGTAAGTATATGTACAGTGTGTGTATATAAATATGTATTATTCAATTATAATCACCAAAGGGAAGTGTTACGGCCTTGTAAATGTGTGTTGGATGTACTGTAGTGTTGTCCATTTTGCTATTGTGAGCTCTTTTTGTATTGTGAGCTTGTAAAGAAGAAACTAAAACAAAGTATTCATGTGTGCAGTGCCTTATAAGTACCTGCCTTAAATGTGTTTACTAACCGTGTATTTAATATCAGATGCCTTAAAGTAGAGGTCAAATTTGTCTCAAAAAACAGTACAATTGTGCAGTTTTATCAATAAAGATGTAACAATAAAAATCACGAGAATGTCCCAATATAAACCTTTTCCATGCTGTGCCTATTTTTATAAAACAAAAGATTAAAAATCATTTGTCACATGTTTATCTAAATGCGTTCTTGAGTTACTGAGGTAAACGTTTTGAGGAAAAATAAAATCAATCCAGGACAAAAGTTTGGAATTTTGGACATACAGCCACATTTCCTAGGGAGCCAGAGTGTTGGAGACGTGTGGAGACGCTTTTAAAAAAAAATTCCATCTAGTCCTTGTATTTGCAGAGGTCGCTGGTGCTAGGCTAGTGTCAATGGCCATAGTTAGCCTGTCACTAAAAGCAGTCTTACCCACTCTACAAAACACCCAAAGCAAATTAGTTATTATACCAGACTGTTGATGTAAATGTCTGTTTTGATAGAATAATGTTTGAAATAAAACTAACCTTGCATTCCATGAATCGTCACATGTTGAGGGACTATTTTTTCATATATCGGTCCGCCGCTGCCAAGCTTTCTATCAGGAAGTACAACTCATTGCGGCTGCTCAGACTTAAATCCATCAAATGCAAGTTTGTTTTACTTCTAAAATAATTCTATTGACACAGACATTTACATCGACAGTCTGGTGTTATACTTTGTTTTGCTTTGGGTGTTTTGTGGAGTAGGTAAGACTGTTTTTAGTGGCAGGCTAACTATGGCCATTGAAATGCACTAGCCTAGCACCAGCAACCTCTGCAAATACAAGAACTGGATGGGACATTTTTTAAAAAGTGTTTCTACACGTCTCCAACATTCTGGCTAACTGGGAAATGAGGCCCTATGTCCAAAATTCCAAACTGTCCCTTTAAATAAAAGTTGACTCATTAAAGGGACTGTATGTAAGTGCTTTTGTTGCCCATATACTAGGGAAACATATTCAGATCAAATATAGTGTAGCTTTTACTGTTGATGATTATATTGCTGATTCATTCCAAATTATATAAACATTGGACATGATCTCCAACTTATTTATGTTATAATTTGATGTTTTGGTTCTCAAGACAATTGTTCGATCAGAAAGCAGAATGAGCCTCACATGAGTCTCTGATTTCATTTTCAAAGCTGAAATCCAGTTGGTTTAAATCTAAAATGACTCTGATTTGAATCCCTTCTACCTAAACCCCAGAAACTGCAGACAACAACCAATAATACTGTTCATATAGAAAAGCTAACATATGTACCGTATCTGCAGGTATAGGTTCAGTTTTTTGTTTGTTTTGTTTTGTTACAGTAAGAGTGCAGCTACATACAGTTTCTTTAATTTTGTACTATAATTTATCCCATGTTTATCTATGGGGACACCAGGGGGATCTGACCTCCAGTTTGAGAATCAATGGAAAACAACCTTGTTTTAATATAAGCATTTAGAACCAAACTTTGCTACCGAAGCTGACCAAATCTGTTCTAATCGAATTTTGTGTTAAACTTGAATGCCCAGTATCTAATGAAACATGTTGATACTCCAGTACAAATAAAGACACATGTAAAATGTATGAATATGAGAGTTTTGAATCCTTTGCTTAACAGACATTTCAGCACTGATAATGTTATCTCTCAGATGTTTTGGTTGAGGCGACATGAGCAGAGCGGAGTAAGGACAAACAGATGTACACAGAGAGATAGTGTAGTGTGGATGCAGTAATCCTTGGGGAGCCCTAATCATCCACGAGCCTTGATGCTGATGACAATATTTACACAGCCATGACTGTTAGCAGTGAGTGAGTCATTTCATGCATTATCACTTAACGTGTTGATAGGAAAAATGACATACTTTTTCGCTTTGTACATGACCAGCATATAGGATTACTGCCTGAAGGAAGTCCAGAAAGATAGCTGTATTTTTCCCCACTTTCTCCATCAACACGTTATTAATATATTTTTTTAGTGATGCATGTGAAACAAAAAAAGCTCATTTTTTAAACATTTCTTTCACCACAGATTACCAGAGTTTAGGGTTTGGTCATTATTTCTGATTGCAGAAGTGTGTATTCTGGACAGTGGCGGACTGGGACCCAATAATGGCCCTGGACTTTTCCCACGGTAGAAATTTAGGACCAGGGGGTGGGACATTTCCAGAACGCATAGATTGACAGTCTTCCCTTATGGATTCGAACAGAATGTAGAAGAGACTGGCTGGTCAGACAAGGTAAGTGTGAACTCTACAGATGGAAGCATTTGACTTGAATGATTTTACCAGTTGCACGGTAAGATCAAAGCGCTACTAAAAGCATTTAATGGAAATAATGCACACCCAACCCTTATCACTCACTGACAACCGCTCCAAACTAAATGTTTACGTGAAAAAACAACATTACGTGCATTATAATACTCATCTAAAACTGACCTTTTCATCTATTGCTTTTGACCCTGGTTTATTCGGTTTTCTTACCTTACGCGTTAGTGCCTTTCCAGTTGCGCCTGTCATACATGGATCTATTACCATCACATAACGCACCGCACCTGGGAAGGTCACGTGATCAGCTGACGGCGAAGGTGATTGGTTGAGCTTCGTCATACCATTAGACTATCTGCAGGGTTTGTGTGTTAAACATCTGTGAAATGAATGGAAACTCAAGCCCAGGTCTGTTTGTGATGAGGAAACTACATTAAAACAGATCAGAAAATGGAATTATTTATATGAGCTCTTATAACAAAACCTCCCTCATGGCGATTGAAATATACAGACTCAAATTACACAACTTTAGTGCAGCCCATAGACCTGTAAAGTGAATGCTTTGGAAGATTTCTCAAAATGATGTAATGAGACAAAACTACAACTGTTTACACAGAACCCACAGGAAACCAGACAATTTATAAGAGGGAGATCTGCTCATACTTTTCACTTCGAACCAGACCTTGGTGGAAGACACATCGCAGCATGAGACAGCACTTAAGTGAACACTTTTCTCACTTTATTGTAATGGACGCACACAGCTCCCACATGTCAGGCAATGGCTCCATGTCCCCCTTCAAACGGCTGTACAGCCTGGCCCAGGGCTTGACTCTGCCCGTGGACTTCGCAGAGTCCACCACGGCAGCTCACCCCCATCCCATATTCACTGTCCGAGCTTCGGTCGGGCCCTTCAGCGCAGAAGCGCAAGGTCCCAACCGGAGAGAGGTCAAGATTAGGGCCTGTGTCATGGTGACAGACATAGTGGAGACGTATCAGAGGAACAGCTACGCCCACTTCCCGCCCCACTGCCACCCGGACTTTAGTCTGGACAAAGACTCCTGCACTCGTCTGTCCAAGGTGCTCATGGCCTACAAACACCCACCCGCCCAGTACCACCTGCTGGGGGACACAGTGACTGGCACCCACTGGCCCTTCTTCATGTGGTTGGCCGTGGACCAGTATACTGCAGTGGGCAAGGGGCGCTCCAAGAAGGAGGCCAGGAGGAGAGCGGCTGCAGGTGTGCTCCACATGATGGGATACACAGTCCCAGAAGAGGAGCTGCTCTCATCTGATCCTCTGACCACAGCAGAACCTGTTTCTCAGATCACAGCAGAACGGGCTATTCAGGACACAGCAGAACCTCCTCCTGAATCAGAGAACACTCTGGAGATGCACCAGGAGATGCAGTCTGTGAACAGCTCAGGCAGTGCTCATGTTTCTGAGGAGACATCAGGATAGAGCCATAAACACAGCTCTGTGAACCCTGAGCCTGTTTCAAGTGACTGCTCTGAGGGACACCAAACTCTGGGGGAGTTCCACAAAGGCACAGTGGAAACCCCAGAGGATCTGGAAATTCAAATTGAGATCCAGGACAAAGAGGAGTCCAAGACACTAGAGACTCCCGGTCCAATGGAGGCACTAACAGAGACACTAATGGAGGTCCAGAGTCACCTCCAAACTGTAGAGGAGCCAAACCCAGAGTAGGTGCAGCTCCACACTGCAGAGGATGTACGTGCAGAAGAAGAGTGTGAGAAGCTGGAGACAGAAAGCTCGGCCTCAGCTCCAGTGTCTCCTGCAGCTCCTGACATGATATAACACTGTTATTCATTCATTAGCCTATAGTACATGCCGCAATGAAACGAATAAAGTGATATGAGCACATTTAACATGATAAGAATATGTCTATACAGATACATGTTCAATGTAATACAAAATAACAACTTTATACATTTTTTATCTAGGTCAAAGTTAGGGAGTGTGTCGCACTTGCGCCCTCTATTGACCAGCCGCCACTGATGTACTCTTAGCATTATGTGTGACGTGCAATGCCAGCAAAAAAGTGGCAGATGTTGCAGAAATTCATGTTTTGTTTATAGAAAATGTGCATGAGAATTTGTGTGCCTCTCTTGATAAAACTTTTTTCTTCAAGACCTATTGCAAAAGTGGCGCAACTTTTGTATTTACTTTTTAAATGTCAGATTAGTTGTTGCATAAGACCCTGTTTCCGGTAGATGTTCATGTGTCATGTTACTGAAACACAAAGCAGACTTCACCCACTGAAACCCTATTTACTCCAATTGACAACAATTGTGGGTATGTAATTTCACAGAACAATTTCAGAACAGGCTTCAAAAGTACTTAACTAGACAATGTTTTGAAATCAAGACTTTTTCGGCTTCCATCTGGACACTATTTTCAATCTGAAAGTACTTGTCTGAGGAGTTGGAATTTATACTCCTTTATTTATTTAGAATGCATGTATTGTGAACAAAGACAACACATATTAATAGACATTTCTGTTAATGTGGCAGTATTAGCTGAACAGTTAGTTTCCAACTGTATTCTCTAAACAAGGCATAGAACAGTATGACGTTAAACTATTCTACCACCCTGGAAATTGATGCCACCATGTTAAGTTGCAAGCCAGATCTGTGGAGAGGGGAACCATAAAACTGTTGCTATGGCAGGCAACACAAAAGCAGCAAAGAGATGGGAGCTGGATTAGATGTTTACCATGATTGATATATTTTAAAATCTACTTTGTGACAGACACTCACACATACCTAATTTGAAATACTTCTCGAAAATGACACCTCTAATCTTGACCTCCACATTGCT